CCTCTGTCGCTCTCTCTATCTGTCTGTCTGTCTCTCTTCCCCCGCCCTCTCTCTCTCTCTGTCTCTCTCTCTCCTGATCACATCATCTTGGCCAGGGTGTTTGTTTCTTGGATGTGATCTCTCACCATGCCTTCCCTCTCTTTTGATCCGAGCTCCGCCATGAGCCCGTAGTCCAGGAGGGCCAGCCTGCCCCGCTCGTCTCGCATGCTTTCGTCCACGAGGAGCATGTTTCCCTTGATAAAACAAAAAAGAAAGCAAAACACACAGAAAGAAGCGCGCGACAAGGGTGCAGCCCGTATCAGACACCAGCTACAGCACGAGACGCAATTATTGCTGCTAGAAGGAAGCAGCTCGTGTTCAACCACTTCAGTATCAGTATCAGTATCAGTATCATTATCATGATCATGATCATTATTTAGCAGCAACAGCAACAGCAACAGCAACAGCAACAGCAACAGCAACAGCAACGACAACAACAACAGCAACGACAACAACAACAACGATGACGATGACGATGACGACAATAGCAGCGGACAACGCTTACCGGATGAGGGTCGCAATGCATGAAACCCTCCCCTAGCAGCTGCACCAAGAACGCCTCCTGCGCGATGCTGGTCAACTCGCGGATCTTTGTTAGGATTGGATTCAGAGCAACCGCGAGACAGAAGGAAGGGGGGCACGAAGGATGAAGAACCATCAGTGAGTGGTGCGAGAATCGGGGGCACAGATGGTCAAGAATACGAACAGCAAGAATATCATCATCATCACCAACAACAAACAACAACAATAACAACAACGTGGACATCACCACCACCACCACCACCACCACCACCACCACAACAACAACAAAACATCAACATCACCACCACCACCACCACCACCACCACCACCACCACCACAACAACAAAACGTCAACATCACCATCACTAACATCACCACCACCACCACCACCACCACCACCACCACCACCACCACCACCACAACAACAAAACGTCAACATCATTTTTTTCACCACCACCACCACAACAACAACTAATTATCAACATCACCATCACAACCACTAC